AAAAAAAAAAGGCAGTGCCTAGGAATCATAGATGGCTACGTTGAGACTCCGCTTTCTCTCCGTGGAGTGTGAGAGACCCAAATCCTCAAAAAAGTTCAAGCCAAGCGAGTCTCGAGTGCCTGCTTCCGCGCAGTCCTCTGCGTGGAGGGTAACGCTGTGGACAACGTTCGCTTCAGCAAATGAAGGGACGCCTTCCAGTACCGGGCTGAGGGCACTGAGAATATAGACGTGCGTTGGCACGCTTCTCGGCCTCGGTCAGCATACAGCGTGAGACTTGTGAGCAGGTGCCATGGATATCGTAAGACAGTGCTATCCGTGGAGGCAGAAGGGGGCGACGCAGATCAGGGTATGAGGTCAGAGGACCCGCCAGCCGATCGTGACGTGTGGCTGGGACAGTAGTACAGGCCACCTACTTGAGCCGAGCTGTCAAGGGGTGAAATCGCTCCAGGGACTGGTCGCTGTGCAGCGTGAGGTTCGAGGACGAAGGACCGAGAGGTGGGGTTGAGATGCCGTTGGAGAGACTTCACAGCGGGTCTTACCAGCGGTGCCGATGAGGGGTCTGCCGTAGAGACGGGAGAGATGGCAGAACTCTTGTCGAGATGGGTCCCATTGCCTGGGACGGGGAGGGAGAAGGCCCGAGGGAAGAGCGTCGCAGAAAAGATAGGCCAGTCGGGAGGCTGCTGGGCCAGTTTAGTCCGAGAGAGGAGCACGTGGGACAGAATGGAGAAATAGTCCAGATATCAGTTGGCAGAGCTAGGGGCTGATTCTTTTGGGGGGGGCCGTGGAAGACAGAGGCGTCTAGGGATGGTTCCCCAGATCGTGCTCTGGATGCCTGGAGGCTCGGACAGTCACAGTCCGGGAATGAGCAACAAACAAGTATTGGTGGTAAGTGCCATCCAGGGCACACCTTGCTGCCCCCTGTGACATCCAGGCGGCGACGTGTGTCTGGACGATTGCAGCAAGACTGAGGGAGAAATGGCGGGGGCGTTGAGCCCTGAGCAATCGTCAGAATTTCCATTAGGGGCCACACACGGAGAGCTGCTCCAAGGAGACTTGAAGGCACCTAGGGAACAGGATGAGTCTTCTCTCTAGAACGTTTCGATCCCATGGGTTCTGTGTGCCTCAACGCTGCCTCGTTTTTAAAATCTCCTCTGGGTTTGGGTTCTTTTCTGTGTACCAACTAACTCCACAACGCATGCTGGAGCCCATGGAAGGTATTTGTTCAACACCCTCACGTTTCTGGGACTTAACCCAGCAGACCTGTAAACCTTCCCTTGAATTCTAGCCAGTAACTTGCGTTTCCTGACTTTGTAGATCACCACTTTCTCCAGACTGCTGACCAACCGTGACTGCGAAGTTTTGCAATCAGAAGGAGGGGACGGAGCTCTGAAGCCCATGATCCTGTCTCTGCAGCAGTTTGACACCGAGGGCTCATTCCTCAGAGAAGTCCAGTGAGGCTCCCGCCTTCCCTCCCTGTCCCCTCTGCCCCCAGCCCTGACTGCTCTGTCCTTCACTCACAGGGCTGCAGGGACCATCGGGCTGTCACCAGCCCTGGCTCGTGACCGCGGGAGCCACATGACCGAAAAGGGTGCTTGTTGCATTCTTCCAGTGCCCCCTCGTCTCTGCTGCCTCTGCACAGGCATCCTTCTTGGGGGGTGGAGGGAAGCATCCTCTCGTCTCATCAGGGAAGCATTTCCCCGGGTTTACATGCCCTCCCCTGGCTTGTCCGCTCACACAGAGGAGATCCTCACCCGAGGCACTCGTTCTCGGTCGTCTTCTGCATCCCATCAGTCTGGGGGAGTTTCATCGCCCGTTTCTAAGGACGGATAACTTCCTTTTTCCTCCAGAAACTGCTTAACTGATGCAGCCAGGTGTAAAATCCTCATTATCCAAACCAGTTTTGAAGACGGAGTCCACAGCGCTCAGCTCATTGCCTCAGCTAAGTATGTGTTTGTTATTTTTCTCAGAAACTACCCAGAAAGCCCAAATTTTATTCAGGGGTTCCTAAAGAATTTCTCCCCGGAAATTTAGCCTACAGAGAAGGCTAAAACCAGGCAACAGTGGTAGAATGCCAAGAAGTATAAATGATAGAATATTAGCAGGATATGAAAGACTATCCTAGAGGGGCCCCCGTGTGGCTCAGCTGGTTAAGCGTCCGACTTCGGCTCAGGTCATGATCTCAAAGTTCGTGGGTTTGAGCCCCTTGTGGGGCTCTGTGCTGACAGCTCAGAGCCTGGAGCCTACTTCCGATTCTGTGTCTCCCTCTCTCTGGAGCTCCCTGCTAACGCTGTGTCTCTGTCTCTCAAAAATAAACATTAGAAAGGAAGGGAGGGAGGGAGGGAGGGAGGGAGGAAGGAAGGATGGAAAGAGGGAGGGAGGGAGGAAGGAAGGAAGGAAGGAAGGAAGGAAGGAAGGAAGGAAGGGGGGGAGAGAGGGAAAGAAAGCAAGATAAGAAGACTTAAGATTGAACCTGACCGCTCACAGGAGCGGTCAGCCGCTTCCACAACGTTGCCTTTGTCTGTCTGTCTGTTTGTTTGTTTGTTTTGTTTTGACTTGTTCGTCCTTCCTTGCTTGTTTTAAAACAGGTATTCTGCTATAAACGAAATCAACAAGATACAAGGGAATCAGGGCTGCATCTTGGTCTATTTCATCACGAAACTGTCCCGGATAGAGAGTGGAGCGTCCTACGTGGGATTCCACGGGGGTAGGCTGAAAATGGCAGCAAATAACGCTTATTTAGATAATGTGCAGAGTTGCTCCTGATTTGCTCCCGTGGCGTACAAGCCTGGGATCCGAGCACCGGTGTTGATCTCAACGAGATTCGTTTCGGATGCAATTAAATTTCTTAACCCCGGGTTATTGCAGGAAACACGCGTGTCTGGGCTGGCTGCTACAGTGTGCAGGACTCCCTTACTGACTGGTAGATAAGCACCAGTGTTTTCTTTTAATAGTGTCTTTAATCGTGTCTTTAATCATGTCTTTTATTACACGGGTAGCCTAGAGAAGGCACTCCCAACTGGCATTGTTCTGGAAGCACTGATACTTAATGCCAGGTTCTGGCGGGGGGCAGGGAATGCTATCTTAAGCCTCTCTGTTTTTTCTGAGGAATGGGTCACCAATTATTTCACACATAAGAAAGTTGGTATTCTAGAAACTGGCAAGTGACAGTTTACTTTAAGAATGTCGTAGATAACGGGGGGTAAATCTTGCCAGTTTCCCACACCCCTTTTCTAGCTGTGATGGGGCAAGATTACTAAAAAATGTAAAAAGAATCAAAAACCAGGGCGCCTCGGTGGCTTAGTTGGTTAAACATCCAACTCTTGGTTTCGGCTCAGGTCGTGATCTCAGGGTTTGTGAGTTCAAGCCCCACATTGGGCTCTGCTCTGACAGCACAGAGCCTGCTTGGGATTCTCTCTCTCCTCCTCCCCTGCTCGTGCACTCTCTGTCTCTCTCAAAATAAATCAATAAA